GCACCCCCCAGTGAAGGAAGTTGTGGTCAGGCGGGAATGGGCAACTCCCACCGGAGAGGGGAGACAAATTAAAAGACCCGAGTGTGAATTTCCAGGCTGACGCTGGGAGGAGAGAGGGACCTCAAAGCCAGAGGGGGAGCTGGGGTATAAAGAGGTGAAGAGGTGAATGCTTGAATGGTCATCACTGTGGACATTATGGGGAGTGCGCTGGGGCTTCCAGCTACCCTTGACTCAGAGCCTGGTGGAGGTGTGGCTCTAGGGAAGTAAGGAGCTCCAGTCCTATAAACACAGTCACACCCAGGAGACTAATAATAGTAACCCCAGCCACCATTTACTTAGCCTTATTCCAGCTACTGGCTTTACTTGCAGTATCTATTTTCATCTACTTACACATCTGCTCAACAATCCTGACATGTCCATTTCACGGGGGGGAGGGAAGTGAGGTCCAGACAGTATAAATGGCTCCAGGGAGGGGGTTGAAGCAAGATTTAATGAAGGCCGGATTCCCGAGCCGGTCCTTTTAATCTCACCTGCATTTGACAAGTAATAATTGAGCCCCAATTGTTTACCTTGCACTGTGATAGGCACTGGGGAGATGCTGGTGAAACAAAACATAAAAGATTTCTAACCTTGTGTAGACCTATGTTGGAAAAGAAAAGAAAAGGAAAGAAAAGAAAATAAATAAAAGATAACTTCAGAGAGAGATCAGAGTTATAAAGATAGCAAAAGGAGGTTACGTTGGAGGAAGTAATGATGATGGGCTGCTGGTTTCTTTGAAGACAACATTTGAGCTGGGACCTGAATGACCAGAAGCCGAATGTATGAAGAGCTTGGGGAAGGGCACTGACAACCCTGAGAGCAGCAAGTGCAAAGGGCCCGAGGTGGAGCAGAGTTTGTTTTGTTCTAGAAACTCAGACATGTCCTCACAGAGTTGGAAAGCACAAGCTGGGAAAAGTGTGCTTCATTCCTTCCACCACCCAACCACTCTCAGCAACCTGGACTGATAGAAGGGTGCCCCTTTCCTTGGTTTTGAGGGGCCCCAGGTTGAGGGGTGGTGGTGCAGGCAGGCCCTTGGGTTTAACTGTGTTGGCCTTCCAGCCACAACTCTTCCCTCAAATGGGATGAGAATAAAACCAATGTCCAGTCTGGAGAGTGTGATCCTCAGCATTATCTCCAGGGAGATCCTGATTCCTGTGACCAGGTGCCTGTCTCAGATGCAGAAATCAAGGCTGAGTCAGGGGAAATTGTTCGCTTAGGATAACACACTTCAAATGTCATCAGCCTTGTCCCCCAGACCGGCACCCCAAGAGCCTACCTCTCATCTTGCCAAGCTTCCAGCAGTAAAAAAACCTGGGCTCCTTCCCATCTTCATTCATCTAGGGCGGTGCTGGTGGCCCCTTTCCTTAGAACCAGGAAACAGGCCCAGCGCTTGGGGCCAGGGCCTCCCTAGGATTGCAGAACACAGAGTCAGCCCCTGGGTTGTGACACCGTTAATAATGTCTGTCCCCATTTACTGAGCAGCTTGATGCTCACCAAGCTCTATTTTCTCTTAGCCTGTGCGCTAGTGCAGTCTCATTTCCATCACTGCTAAGAGGTTTATTCTACCCACTATGATCCTTTATCCGAAATTTGAAGTCCACAAAGCTCTGGAAATAGCTTTCTCACGTGTTGGGCACCATTTGGTTACAAAACCTAACATGACTTAATGAGGGACAATTTTCAGTTCTGGCTTATCCCACTTATTGTGAACGACTTCCACCCCTTTTCTTGAATAAATATTAAGGTGTTTATTTAAAAAAAATTTTTTTTAAAGATTTTATTTATTTATTTGACAGAGACACAGCGAGAGAGGGAACACAAGCAGGGGGAGTGCGAGAGGGAGAAGCAGGCTTCCCGCCGAGCAGGGAGCCCAATGCGGGGCTCGATCCCGGGACCCTGGGATCATGACCTGAGCCGAAGACAGACGCTCAACGACTGAGCCACCCAGGCGCCCCTATTTTTAAAAAATTTTTTTAAAAACGGGGCTGCCTCAGACCTCGCTGAGAGTGTTAAGAAATACACAACTTTCTAAGATCCGAAATATTCAGAATTCTGGAAACATACCTGGGTTTAACCACGGCCTCAGCCATTTTTACAGCTAAGGAAACTGAGTCATGTGCTTGCCCCAAACCAGATCCCCGAGGTTCTGAACTGAGGCAGCACCGAAAGCATTCCTATTCCGAAAGCGCAAAAGACCTCTCCGTTACCGCACATGGTACTCCGAACTGCCAAGCCTCAAAGGCTGGCGCCCCCGGAGGTGGGGCGCCCTGGGGGCTCCGCGCCCGGCGGGGAGTATCCTTGGCGGGCGGGGCAAAGGGGCTTCCGGGGCGGCAGCCACCTGGCCCGGCCCCCTCCGGCCCCGCCCGCTTCTGCTCCGCGAGGTGATTCACTCCCTCCTTCGCCCCGGGGGCCCCCTTCCCGGCCAGACGGCGGGCAAGACGGCAGGGTGTGCAGCGTCTCGGAATCCGCGAGCAAGCGAGTAGATACCCCGCGCCCCTAGGGACCCCGGCCCACCCCATGGCGGATTCCGAGCGCCTCTCGGCCCCCGGCTGCTGGGCCGCCTGCACCAGCTTTTCGCGCACCCGAAAGGGAATTCTCCTGTTTGCTGAGATTGTGAGCGTCCCGGGACAGGCGGGTGGGCAAAGGCAGGGTGGAGTGGCTGGACCACGCGGAGCCCAGAGGCCCCGGGTGAGGCAGGCGCGGGCCTGGAGGCGCTCCGCAGTGGGGCGCGGGTGGGTGGGTTAGTGGTGGAGGCCCGAAACCAGGGGCTCGGGGCGAGCCAGGGGGGTTTGGAGAAGGTGGTCAGGAGCCGCTTGAGCTACGGAGTGACGCGAGGGGCCCATAGCGCATATGGGGGGCCCTGTGGGGGGAGACCGCGTGGACACATCAGTGGGCTCCTTCGGAGGGATCCCAGGGGGCTAGGAGGCGGGGGGCCTCCCGTGGCAGGGCGTGGCGCGGCCTGGGCACGGGCGGGCGGGCTGGCTGCGCGCCCAGGGGCGGGGCCTACTGGGGTGGGGCCCTGAGCCCTGGTCCTACGGGGTTGGGCGGTCCGCCCTTTTACCAGTTCTTCCTCTCCCTTCTGTGGTGGGGCAGGAGGTCCCTAAGCTATTCGGGCCGCTCGGGGAGCCTGGGTTTCCCATCCCCCTGAAAGTGGGCGCCGCCTTTGATTGACTTGTAAAAGGGGTGCGACGCCTTTAACAGAGCCCTGCCCCTCCGGTGTCACTCTCACCGCTTCCCAAAGGGGTTGCCGAGGGAACCGCAGGTCCCGCCCCTGTCGAGGCCCTAAAGCTGGCCGCAGCAGTGCTCACCAAACACCTGGCGGCACCACTCCCTGCAGCCCGCCCCTATGCTGGAAGGGGAAAGGGGAGGGAAGCGGAGGCACCCAGCTCTACCCCTTACTAGGTGCCCCTGGACAAGTCACTTAACCTCTCTGTGCCTCACTTTTCTCATCTGTAAAATAAAGATACTAATAACAGTACCCAGCTCATTGGGTTGTCGTGATGATTAAGTAAATTAATACTTGTACAGCCCCTAGAACAGCTTTTGGGACACAATGAGCACACAGTAAACGTTTAGCTATTAGTATTTGTCATCTTTCCAGTCCTGATAGGCATCATCGGAGTGTTTGAGACCTCCAATTTAAACCAATCCCCTCAGGCCTGGGAGCTGATTCCGGGGGGGGGGGGCCCTTTCCCCTGTCATCCTTCCAGATATTGTGCCTGGTGATTCTGATCTGCTTCAGTGCCTCCACACCAGGATACTCCTCCCTGTCGGTGGTCGAGATGATCCTTGCTGCTATCTTCTTTGTCATCTACATGTGCGACCTGCACACCAAGATACAGATCATCAACTGGCCTTGGAGTGTGAGAAAGGGGCGAGGCTAGGAAGGGGCCTGGGCAGTGGGGATGATCCTGGTAACTCTGGATGCTGACTTCCTCTGTTCTCCCCACGCCTCACAGGATTTCTTCCGAACCCTCATAGCGGCCATCCTCTACCTGATCACCTCCATTGTTGTCCTTGTTGAGGGAGGAAACCA